AGCCACTCGAACGGAATGCACTGACCGGCTCATGAATTCTAACTTCTCAGGTATCGGTTTTGTAGGGATTTTGTTTGATTGCATGGAGGATTTCATTATGAGCTGACATCAGTTAGAGAACCATTGGAAAACCTGTGAGTACTGAACAGGTGTTTCTTCCTAGTTTGAGACTCTTCATCTGTATGCACCCACCCACCTGGGACCTTCTGGTTACAAGGCGAGCTTCAAGACCATTGAGCTACTGAGACCCGATCCAATGGTCCTTGTATTCTAACTTCTGCCAATTCCTGATATAGTGCGACCACTTCGCAAATGTCTTCTTCGATGAGTTACTGCCTCATCTTCAACCTGCTCTACCCTACTGATCACAGCATCCGATGCTGCTGCATACTGATGAAGATTCTCAAACTAGGATGAAACAGCTGTTCAGTACTCCCTACAGCTGGCTTTCCAATGGTTCCTCCCTAACTGATGTCAGCCCATGATGAAATCCTTCATGCAATTCTAACTTTATTGATTCATAGGTTTACTTCGCTACTTTTAGGTCTCAGGTTTGATCGTCAGTGGTTCACGAGTGAGTACCACTGATGACATCCAGATTAGGACGAAACACTGACCTATAGATCGGGTAAAATATTCCTGATCTTCGCATAGCTGGCAGCTAAATAACATGAAAAGGAAAGGTTAGGCACGAGGCTAACAATCTCACCCTGTAACATCAGTTCCACCTTGTATCACTGAAACTTTAATGCCTGAGCCTGAATTACTTCCTGTGTTCCATTCGAAGCATGATTTGATCTGATCTCAGGTTCGATCACGGACCGAAATCAACTAGAGAATCACTGAAACCATCAAGCAATGAGTCCTGGAAAGCTGTTTCATACTAGTGCTTAGGAATTTTCGTCACTGAACCACCAATAGTCGAATATAGGACCTTCACATGTGACATGACCAGCTCGTTAAGTAGTCAGTGACTTGGATGGAGTCCAATGAATTCTAACTTCTTTTGATTTCCAAATTCATCTGGTAGCCTCAGAGTCCTAGGTTGGGTCATCAGTGGGTTCATTGGTTCACACACTCCTAATGATGAGACCCAGGATGGGATGAAACATTGACCTTATGATCTTTTATTGATCTACTGGCGGAGAAAATCTGTAAACTACTCAATTCCATCAATTGATTCTACAATCAACAGTGATATGAACAAATTATTACGAGTAAGTGCGTGAGTGACTGATTGACTGACTGACTGACTCACTTACTCACTGAAGTTTTAGTGTGTCATAAGTCATACCTAGATGCGCTTTTCGATTACTACGTTACATTAACGTAGTTACATAAAACTTCGAAAAGGCATTCGACAGCGTCGATCTAGAGGTGATTTGTAAACTACTTCGTTAATATGGGGTGCCAACGACAATTATACACCTCATCCAACATTTGTAAGACAATGCTGCATGCCAAGTTATCCACAACGGGATACTTACGGAAGCTTTCGAAGTGAAGACGGGAGTGAGGCAAGGCTGCATACTATCGCCAATGATTTTCCTGATTGCAGTAGATTGGATAATGCGACAGACAACGGGCAATGAGGAAACAGGTATAAAATGGACTCACACAAAACACTTCGAGGATCTGAACTTCGCCGATGATGATACATGTCTGATTTCCCATAAACTGGAAGATATGCAAGTGAAAAGCAACAAGTTGGCAGAAGAAACATCCAATGAAGATAGGACTTCCTTCATGTGAACATAGAGAAAACAGAGGTGATGAAGATTCCTGGCAAACAGCGACACCAACAACAACATACAACAATCAGCATAAATGGGGGAACCTAAAAGAAACAACCTCCTTTACCTACCTACCTACCTGAGAAGCATCGTTTCAACTACAAGCGGACGGAACTGGTGAGTATATCAAAGCAAGGAACATGGGGAAAGCAAGAGAAGCATTCATTACTCCCAAGCCTGTATGGAGATCAACAGCAATCCTCATCATGAAAATGAAAATAAGATCCGGATTTTCAATTCCAATGTGAAGTCAGTCAGTGCTACTAAACCGATTGATCGGAGACTTAGCGCGTCATAAAGAGCATCTCAAACAAAATACAAACCTTCACTAACAGTTGTCTTCGCTCAATACCAAGATTAGATGGCCGGTCAGAAAAGATCTCTGGCAATGAGCGAACCAACCAGGAACCGATTGTGCGACAAATAAGCAGGAAAGAATGGAGGTGGATTGACATGGCCATACTGTGAGGAAACAAACCATCAAGGGACATCACTAGACAAGCCATTGCTCAAGTGGAATTCGAAAGGGAAGCGGCGAGTTGGTCGTCAGTGCGAGGGTGACCTGGGGGAGGAGGTCATGTGAAGAGGAGATGAAGGCATGTGGGCAGACTTTGGAGCGGGGTGAAAAAGTTGGGAGAGAACCGAACGCAGTGGAGACTTGGGCGGCTGAAGCCCTATGTTCCTCTAGGAATTAAAGGAAATAACAGTGATAAGTCGTACCTTGCATGGATCTATCTAGTCACAATGAGTGTGAGCGTGATTCCTCGTCGATGACAGCGGCTGGAGGCGACAGTACTATAAAAGCGCGTAATTTACAGAATGTAGAATTCATGTACTAGCTATAGGATAGGATCACAGTGCCTGAATGATTCACGTGATCACCTTGTAACTTACAGGAACTCCCTGGATCCTTGACAGTAAAGTGGGTGATGATGATTGCCTGTTGATGAAGAGCCCCAAATATAAGGCTGAAACTACCGTCGGGTAATGCACAGTTGTTGTTGTTGTTTTTTTCGTTCCAGTGCTTGGAAATGACTCTTCAGCAATATTCAATAGACTCAATTAAGATAAATAATAATAACATAATTCATCAAATGCCCTGTAATGCTGACTGTCAGTGAGATCAATTACACATAGGCCAGTCAAACCAGTAGATCGGAGTCAGTCAATTCGATTATTAGAACATCGAAATTTAACTGAATCTCTAAATGATTGACCCTACTAAGTTAAATAACCTAGAAGACAGCTCAGACATTGGACTGCATGGCATTGTATTCACTTGAATGCAATCACACGATAGGGTGGGGTGGGACAGGTTGACAGTATTAAATAGTTATACAGTTAGGTAGGGTAAGAGCGAGGTTAATCACTGAAGCTTTATTTACCATCGATTCACCACCGCACACGTGCAATTGGAATCACGCAACGCCTATAAATACCGGAGATAAAGGAAAGTGGCATTAAACGGCAATAAGAAGAGGAGGAAGAGAAGCTTGATTGTCATTACTGTGTGACAATTCAAAAACAGCTGTCCAACACTTCCTGTGGCTGGCTTTCAAATCGTTCTCTAACTGATGTGTCAGCTCATGATGAAATCCTGTAACCAATCAATCACACAAAAATCCCTACGAAACCAAATACCTGAAAATTAATCTGATGCACCCTAGCAACTAACTCTATTCAGACAGTTGACCTGTGGTTCTAGTAAGAAGCCATTACCAGTAGGGTGAAGCAAGTTGAAAGTGAGGCAGTAATTCATCGACGAAGACATTGCAAAGTGATCGCACTATGTCACGAATTGGCAGAAGTTAAGATTCATGGACTGGCTGGCCATTGGATCGGGTTAGATCCCAGTGGCTTAATAGTCTGTGAGCTCTCTGGCCTTGTAACCAGAAGGTTCTGGGTTCAAACCCAAGCGGCATGGGTACATACTGCTGAAGAGTCCTGAACTAAGACGAAGGAAACAACTCTCTATTACTCCTTACTGCTGATGAAATCCTCTTACTAATCAAACAAAAATCCCCGCATTCATGCAAATAAAAAAGCTTTCTAAATCACCAGGTTGAGTTTTTTGTTTTTGATTTGTTGTATGTGTGATCCAACACTGAGTCCATCAAGTACCTAGCTAGACAAACAAGTACACTACACACACACACACAGACACACAATAGAGATGGACGAACGGAAGCACCGGGAAAACACAGAGATAGCCAGGAAAGGCGACAATCTAGACAATAAACGATGACATCTCTCTCTCTCTCTAAACTGTATTATTTGTTGTGACCGCATAGAAAAACAAAATAAATAAACGAATGACTGGTGGTGGTGATGTGTGTTTGAGGGTGGGTGGGTGGGCAAGTGAACATTGACCGCCTAACTGATTGATTGACTGACTGACTGACCGAGCGTATGAGTTGTGTGCTTCCGTGTGTATATTGGTGGTATTGTTCTTAGATTTTTTTAATATTTTAAAACAAGTTCCAGTGTTTAGTTGGCCTTGACAAATTATCTTTTTTCTCACTCAACCTCCCTGCCTAACTGCCTCACTTCCCGCACAACCCCAGCCTCACATCTCTCCCTCTGCGTCTCTTTGTGGTGTGTTGTACTGGTGGTAACAAAGAAAGGAAGTAATTGTTTATGTGTGTATGTGAGTGAATAACACTGATAGAGTATGTCTGATTTCTAGTTTATCCATCCACACATTTTCATTGGATTGTATAAAAGTGTACTAAGCGAGAGAGAGAGAGAGGGGGGGAGGGAGATAGTGAGAGAGTGAGTGAGTGAGTGATTGGGTAAGGGTGAGAGACAATCTCTATACCACTACATTACTACAACTACAAATAATAATAATAATCATAATAATAATAATAATAGTAATTTTAATGGACACACTTTTTCTACCTTTACTAAGATTGGGTCACATCTGCTGCTCTCCTGCTGCTTCACACACGCAGTCCTAGTGGTGGTGGTGGTGGTGTGGTATTCCTTTTTCTCTGTGTTTCTCATTCAAAATAGCCAATTGTAAACAAAAAGTATATCGTTTCACGTGTATGCGCGCGCACACAGGTCTTAAAATTCTTCTCTCGCATTTGATTGGTTCATTTGTAGGCAGGCAGGCAGTCATTCATTCATCCATTCAGCCATCCATCGTTATCGTCTCGTCGATTCATTCGTCTTAATGAATTACAATAATATTATTCATTAATAATAATAATAATAATAACAATAATATAACAGGGTTGGTTTCACATGCTGTATATATATATTCTCTATTCAACGACGCATATACACATAGATTTAATACAAGATATCCACACACTAAAGAGATACAGAGTGTGTGTTTGTATGCGTGCGTGCAGTGAAGTCAGTAAAGTCCAGTGTGTGAGTGATTGAGTGAGTGAAGCATCAACTACCGGAACTACTAAAACTACGTTGATTCGTGTTCGTGTCTGTGTGTCCGTGTGTGCTCCTGTGCGTTTATGTGAGTGTGCGTAAGTGAGCGCACGCATCATTTCTTTACTACGGTTATCACGAAAAACACAACTGCGACAACAACGACGAGGCTTTCAAATCCCTACTCCAAGTACATTTCAACGGACAATTATAATACCTACCTAAAATAAACTCTTTTATTATTATTATTATTTATTGTCTATCTATTTTGATGTAATGTTGGTCTACTTCAAGGAAAGGTGATCCGTTGAACCCTATTTCACATGTCAATACAACAGTTCTCTTCTTGATATATCATCTGTGGAATATATACGTGTACATTTCATTGTGACTGCAATCCAACTAACTGACTCAATTGACTAACCTAACTTATTAATTAACCTGAAAGCTAACTGACTCATTCATCATTATCAAGTTTTCATCAAAAATTAATCAATAATTGTGTAATCCCTTGCCCTTAGTGTTATTTAATTGTGGATATCATTTATCGTCCAATTGTTTTACTCATTGGCAAGCAATAGAGAGCTGTGTGGGTGTGCAGTGATCCAGTTCTCATATTCAGATCATTGTGAATTATTTGAGAATAAACCCGGTGTGGAGAGTTTTTATTTCATTTGATTGTTTAAAAATCGATTGATTTATTTACATATACATATATATATTAAACACACATGATGGATGTAAGCGGTACTGATCCCCGAACACGAACAGGATTATTTCTCTGGCCATGGGCAAGTTATCCAGCTGTTGCAGCGAATGCAGCAGTTGGTGCAGCCCACGCACAACCAATTATGATGGGTGCAAGTGCTGCAACGAATGCAACAGCAATGAATGCCACTGTTCCCGGTTCAAATATGTTAGGTGTATCACATCCAGCGGCAGCAGCAGCCGCCGCTGCAGCCACAGCAGGTAATCCTGGATCAACAACACTACCTGGTATGATTGAAGATCCATTTGAAAGTTTTTGTCAACGATTCTCGTATTCTGGTGCAGCACATGCAGCGCATATGTCTCACATATTACCACATCAACATGTTGGCTTGAATGATACTACACGTCATCTAGCGCAACAAGATCATGAAGCGGGTGAAAGTGAGACCAGTCGTCATTTAAATCATTCCCCATCGATGATTAATCATGCTCGTGCACATATTACATCATCACAACGTTTATTAGCTGGTCAACCTCGTGGAGGTGGTGGTGTTACTGGCAACAACAACAACGGCGCTAACCATATCCACTCACATACGACTAATAATACAAATGGGCACAACGATCAGTTAAGTGATACCTGTAATACTACTAATAATCATAATAATAATTCTACGCATGCTGCAGCGATTGCTGCTTTCGCCTCTGCTGCAGCAAGTTCTGCTATCATGGGAGCTAATGAAAGCAATATAGGCCATTCAAATGGTCTAGCCTTACCACACGGGATACAAGTACCACGTCACGTTCAACAAGGTCTACGTAATCCTGGAGCCAATGATATGGTCCTTGATGGTCTGTGTAATGGTTTTGCAAAGCCTAGTCAATTTTCTAGTGTTACAAATGCATTGAATAGGCAGCAGTCGGCAGCGGCAGCCGCGGCGTTATCCCCAAGACAGATTACTTCAATGAATTGTGGCAAACTTCAGGCGGATTCCATCACTTCGTATAATTTACACTGTCATCATTTCAAGAGTTTAGGGAATCCAGCAGCAGTAGCATTGGCAGCCGCCGCGGTAGTTGGCGGTGGAGGTGGAGGTGCTTGTGGCGGTGGAGGAGTTCCAAATGCTGGAGATCATTTACACTTTCCGTCAGCGTTGAACAATGAACTACGGGAGAATATGACACCGACAAATAATAATAATAAACAGCATGTTGATGAAACGAACTCATCTGGGAATACTAATAATAACGGGAACTCTGGCGGTACAAGAGGATCACATTCATCAAATAATAATGACAATTACTCCCTGGCTCATGGGCAGCAAACACAACAGCAACAGTATATCTTTTCACCAAAAAGTCCCCTATCAGATTCTCTTGAAAATACAGTGGAAACAGATCGTCTAACAGGGAAATCTTCGACAAGATCACGTGGTGACAACAATATTGAAAATAAAACAATGGTCAACCGATTACTTTCATCAATGCCACAACAAGCTGATCGATTAAATAATTTAATTTTTAGAAATACTAATTTAAGAGGTGTTGAATGTTCACCAGATTCATCAGTCAATGGAACAGGTCGACGATCAACAGATCTACTTATGGAAGATCCATTGACAACTCCAAGAGAAGATAATAATGGAAATAATAATAATACCACAAATAACAATAGTAATAATAATGGTAATAATAGTGGTAGCAGTAATAACAGTCGTGTAGAATCACGATTCCTTGGAATTAATCAAGATGATGGTATATCAATTAATGGTCTGTGTAATGGTGAAAATGGTCTCTCGTCTATCCTCGGCTCAACTCTTCCAAGTACTGGGCACAACACAACAACCTCATATCATCATCCACCGGCGAAAGGATACAAGTGTAAAATTTGTCAACATGTAAGTTATAAGTCTCTTCTTTGTCTGTTTTGTTTCTCTCCTTTTTTCATATTCTTTATTTTGAGTTTATTGATTTTTGATTTTAAATGTTGCATTTTAATGAATTATATAAATATTGATTAATCAATCAAAATAGCATGTGAATTGGGTTTCAAACCCTCTTGGCCAACCTGTCTAGTATCCTGACTCGCCTGTTGGTAAATTCTGTCTGGATTCAACATAGAACTTGGCACCGAAGTGCATCAGTTCGAGATGCCACATTCCAAATAGAACATAAAGGTATACAAGAAGATAAGTGAAGAGAATCAATAGAGTTTGACAGGTATAAGAGCGAATTACAGAATGGGTAATGGTAAAAAAGTAATATGAAAGATTATAGAGACTGAATACATCTGCGTCAGTGACAACGATTTTGAGCCATGTCACCTATTGTCTCCAGCCCTTAATTCCCCTGGGTACCAAGTGGAATGTACGGCGTCAACACCACATCTCCGCGTTGTCTGCTCCTCTGAAATTTTCATTCCCTAACTGTATGACTGTCTCATCTACCCCGTGTCACCCTCAGACATACATACATCCAAACAACCAGTCATTTCCAGTTTTTACTCTCTACTCAAGCGATAATCTGTATTGAGCAGGATATCGTTCAGCGATCTGCTCAGAGTACTGTCTCCATTTTGATTTGCCATATTTGTTGAGCAAGGCAATAGTTTCTTAACTGCTTAGGTCATCAGATGACCTTCATTATGGAGTCATTGAAAGCGACTGTTGATAAAACCTATTCAGAAGGAGGCTCCTAAAGATGCTTCTTGTTGTTTTTAACACCAAATTTACAACCTCATATAGAAGAATTGACTGAGTTATGAGTTCTGTTCACCATTCAGAGGTTTTTATCTATGCTACGGAGTGATAAAGGTGTCTGTCGTGTCTTTCGAATCCAGCCTGGTTTCGACATCGTCATCTGTGGTGTCATTGCCTATACAACAGTGTTCTTTCATGGGGAACATGTGAAAAAATGTTGACAGTGATACTTACAGAAGCACAAAGCTAACTAAAATTTATAAGGATGGTGTTGGATTGTGTATCGATTCTGTAGACTGAGGTTTTAACCCCAAAAGGAGGAGGTCGTCAGTAATCCTCTTAGTCACGAAGCAAGGAAACTATCGTTTACCGTTTTTAGATCTATTCATTTTTATTTTATTTTTGATTTACAGCTTGATTCCATACTGTATTTTTGGTATAAGTATGGAATTTTCAGCATGGATATCGGTAGCCCAAATTTTGCAGGCCGACCATAGATATCAGGTGTGCGCCGGCGTAGGCTCGAACCCCGGACCATGTGCATGGTCGACGAGAGTCCTAACCACTGTGCCACCGACGCACTGTCTAACATGAGTCATTACTAACTCATTATTCTATAACATTGAGTCAACCTCGTTAGATAACTAAAATAAACGTAAGAGGGGTGGGGGTGGAAACAGCTTGACCATGGTTACCAACTTTAAACTATTCTAGTGTTGGTTTGTAGGGATTTTATTGATTTGTTACAGGATTTCATCATGAGCTGACATTGGTTACAGAACCATTGAAAAACCTGTATGGAGTACCGGACAACTGTCTCCTCTGTCTTAGTTTGAAGAACTCTTCAGCAGTACGCACTCACCAGGATTCGAACACAGGACCTTCTGGTTACAAGGCGAGCTCGTATACCATTAAGCCACTGGGACCCAATCCAATGGTCAGTGCACGAATTCTAACTTCTTCCAATTCACGATATACCGCAACCGTTAGCCAATCTCTTCGGCGAGTATTTGTCCTCACATCCGACCTGGTGCACCCTACTGGTCACGACTATTCTATTACTGTTCTGTTTTACACCTCTATTTTTCAAAATCGTATAATTGACTAATTTCAAACTTAGAGATATATCCCATGCCCTGACACCTGTCCTCTTAGCTTGAAGTTTCTGTAGCAGTGGTGGTTATTTTTACAGGGTCGGGTTGCTAGCCACCCTCATGCTGGTCCAACCTTTCCGCTTTACCAGAATTATTTCTGGCTTAACTAGGTAAGAGTGGTACGTTGGCGGCCGGAGATCGAACCACGGACCATGGGCATGGTTGGCGAGCGACCTAACCTCTGTGCCACCAACGCGCCCTCTTAGTAATGCTATCCAAAAATCATTTGAACCCCTCCCCCCCACACACACAGAAAGGGTCAAAGTCCAAGTCAAAGAAACAATACAAGTAGCCTAGAAGGTGTGAAAACACACAAAAACAACCACTGATGACGTTCAAGGTCACCAACCAGGAGAGATGGATGATTCATAAACTCGTGAAGGAGAAATCTAAAAGCTCCTTACGTCAATTGAAATTGGAGTATGGGCGCTGAAAATGTTGTCTAGTTGAAAGGAGGGAGGGAGGCAGTGAAAGCTTCGCAAAAACACAACCACATTAAAATCATCCTCCACCTGAGCTATTAAAATCTTCTCCATCATATCTATTTGTTACCTAGTAAGAATAGGGCAAACCACAAATAAACGACAAACAAATCAATGCCATTCAATAATGTTTACTACATATAAAAATAATTTATTGATTTTCACCTATCTATACAAAAAGACAAGAGACAAAAGAAACTTGTATAACAAAATTATATTACTCTCAGCCTACTGATAGTCTAATGATCACATTATGTGTATATATACTCAATATTTGAATTTGTCTACTTGTGTATACCAGCTGGCTAGCTAGCTGGCTATCTAGCTAATTAGATAACTAGTCTGTTTGCTTGCTTGCCTGCTCATATTTATTTTACGCGCGTGTTTCTTTCTATATATGCCAAAATTTACAATCATTTCTAAGCGTGTACGAGAAATTGGACATTGAATGTCCAGAAACTAGGTCAACTAATTTTCAACCCCTAATTTACAATGTATGCAAAGCGTAAATTAATTTGACTTGTCGAGATTAGTATTTTGTGTTTAAAGACAGACACTGAATGAAATATATGTATAGATATATACGAAATATAATCTTGTCTAGATTATGTAATCAGTCTATCTCTCTCTCTCTCTCGCTTTCTCTCATTTTCTTAATCTGTCTGCTGTCAGGTTGTCTAGAAAACTTAATTTTTCGGAAGGTGTTTTTTTGGTGGAAATTAAGAAACCCCTCAAAGCATAACAATACACGTAGATTTGTTAAGTTGACTTTTACTGAATATGTTTTTGTTAAGAATCGGTCGTAGTTTTTTGACCTCTTCAGCATCCCGTCACCCAAGTTAGGTATCGAACCTTGACGAGTCTGGTCTATTGACTCTTCAGGCCTTTTGGATTGGATGGAATTCAAGGAGAGGTGTGAATTTCAACTACTGCCTGTCAGGTGGTATTACAATGCCATGGCTAGTTATTGCTTCACAGGTGACATGATGTAGCCCACTGGTGTATGTATGTATTAGAAGCCTTCAAGTGAATTGATCTGGGAGAAAACCGATTACAAGAATGTTTTTTCTTCAGATTCAGTGTGGACTGGGCGTGTTACTAGTGACGTGTTTATTTTTCATATGAAAATGTTATGCGCAGGCATAGAATAATCCCCTACATGTTATCACACATGCGGCAACAAGCACTCAAATCATGGCTAACTTCCTTGACTAATTTAATTCAATTTTAGATGTTCCCCTTGCGATCGACTGGTACATTCAGAAGGTACATCCAGAACATACGGTGCCTTCAAACTGAAGGAATGAAGTTTCGGTACCAGTGGCGATTACTTTTACAGGATAGGGTTGCTAGCCAGTCTCATGCAGGCCCAACCTTTCCTCTTGATCAGTCTTATTAATGGCTTATTGAGGTAAATGAGTGCATCGGTAGCCGGGAATCAAACCCCGGACCACGTGCATGGTTGGCGAGCATCCTAACCACTGTGCCACAGATGCATGCATACTTAATTATCGAACAGAATACAGTGTACTGCATTTAGAGCTAAATCTGCCTTTGCCTTGTTAACTGAAGCTGGAGTCATTCAAGTTTTGGTTCCCTCTCCTCCTGCCGTTTTATGGTTTCTTTCTCCTTACATGACTTTTCTCTATCATGAGAAATCACTTTCGTTCACCATACTGATGATGATGTCTCGTTGGCAGTCACGTTCCGATCTTACTGTTCCAAATTTAATAGGTTTTCATTGGACATAATTCAGTGGTCTCTCTTAGTTAAACGTGCTTACGTTAAATGTCTCTACTAAATGTCACACCGTGAACTTTAATTTCAAGCATAAATTTGATCTATATGACCTTGTTTATTCACACGATGCTCGCAGTACACAAAGGGCATTAAAATAGACAGATATCATCGCCGACAGTCTAAGCTCAATTGTCTCACCTTAAATCCCTCTACTAAATGTCAGACTGTCGATTTCACCTTAGGGGATTAAACGTGATCCATATAAGAAATGGTCCGTTCACAAGATACTTGTCGTATTATAGAAGATACTGAGATAGAAACTAAGTCAAGCGCATAAAATATCTTTGAATGGTTCTATTCTTTGATCTTTCTTGGTCATCTCTTATCTTGTTGATTTTTAAGAAGATCTTCCGGGTAATTTACTACTCCGTTAGGCAGTTAAGGCAGTCAGAAAACTCTTGTTAACTCCTTGTTAACTCTTATCAATTATACTTAACTGCTCGGCGATATTCTTTCCTTGGCTACTCAGAAGGGGTATTGAAGGTTGTTAGTAGGGTAATTGGTGTGACACCACTAAGTTAGATCGTTTCTACCATAATCGGTAGACACCTGAACTTATGGGAGAAATAGTCTAAATCCATATTGTCGAACTCTAAAAAGCTTCTGTATTCTCAACTCTCCACAGTAACCCCCCCCCACACACACAACACCACCACACTAGGATCGCATCAGACAGGACTAATAATAATGATAATGTGCTTTATTCCAAAACAGTACTTGTGATACAGAATGGAATTCTCAGCATTTCACTACATACAGTATT